GTAAAAAAACAAAGGTACAAACTAAATTAGAAACATGACCATCGAAAAGAAATGGAAAAGAGAACAGACTAGGCAAAGTACGCGGTGCCAAGGAAGCAACAAACATGGTTTTGAATATGTACAAATACTAAGCACTGACCTGGCCTTGGCGAAAGAAAGCTTTCACATTATCTTTTCCATCACGAATTGCAAAGTCAGTATCCAACAATACTCCTTTTAGATTACCCAGTTTCAACTTGCAGGCCTAAAGCAGACAACACAGACAACAGTCATATGAAAAGAAACAAACATCAATAACCGGAAAAGGAATATAAGTGATTACAAATACTAACATAGAGGAACTCCCTATCATAACATGCTTTACTCAATGAATGAAGAACTAAAAATGAGAGAAAGATTGGAATGATCTTGCCATGCTAGATGCCTAAACCTTTGACTTATTGATGATCTAATAATTTCAAGGAAATAAAAAATCTTACAGAACTATTTGTAAATATCTAAGACTTGGTCTTCCGCAAAGATGAGCTCTTCTCTGTGTGATGACAAATTAGAAAGGAAGCAAAAAGTTCAGCAGAATAACTAAAGGATTAATGGCAATAAAATCATGATCATCAAGCAACTAAATTATGCACCTTGATCAATGGCCTCCAGGTCCCAGCAGACATCCAAATAGAGCAAAGCCTTCCGATATTCCTAAGATCAATCTTATAGTCTTGTTTCTGTAAGAGGAATAACTAGGAATATCTACTAACACTGTAGCAGTAAAATTCCAAATAAAAGTACTAAAGCTATCGGTACTCGGCAGTCTAATGTATGGTAGAAAATGTGCCATCATTATGCAGCCATAACACAGAGAGTAGAAGGCAAACTCATCCATAATAATGCAAAAATGTGTAATATACAAAAAAGGGGAAATGAAGCAAATTATATGAAATACCTCATTTCCAAAAGCTTTGATAGAGTCAACTGCCATCATCCACCAAGTAATGTCATTCGTTTTTTTGTCAAGGTCAGCTGGTCAGTCGGGATAAATATCACCATCCTTAAAAAAATTAGATACTCCGTCATCTGCCCCCTCAAGAATTTCTCCACAATCTTCAATTATAATATCTTGAGTGGGGTAATCACCATCCTCATTAGCAACATGCTCGATAGATCGAACAACACCCATTCCTTTTAAAACCTTCCCCAAAACCACATGTTTCCCATCGAGATGAGATGTTCGAGTAGTTGTAATGAAGAATCGAGACCCATTGGTGTTAGGCCCCATTAGCCATGGATAACAATCATTTTCTTTCATGTTTTAACTCAAAGTTTTCATCTTCAAATTTCAGGCCATAATGGATTCTCCCCCTGTTCCGTCACCAGCTGAAATATCCCCACCTTGTATCATAAAACCTTGGATAATGTGATGAAAGAAACACACCCTGTAAATAACGCGAGATGTGAAATCGAGAAAGCGAAGAAGTTAATTTTTGGCCGCTGAAGCTGAATGCCAAAGCAAAATAAAAAAAATGCATGTGCGTGAATGACGAACGAGGAAGGGTTTAATTCGCGTGAGATCACTAGAAACACACTTTGTTTCTCCCGTTGCAACAGAGAAAGAGTTTAACATACAAATTCGTAAAACCAGAAACTCAAATTGAATGGTGGAATAGAGAACAAGGAATACCTGTGAAAACCCTTGAATTTTGACTGATCCCTTCGTCTACGTTGTAATCAAAGATAAAATTATGGGGGAAATTAAAAGACAAATTTTAGAAACGGGAAAGCATGCGTACGTGATGAAAATTATGGAGAAATTAAAAGACGACTTTGACAGATGACACACAATGAAAAGTGTACTCCGTGTGTTTGCTAAATTTTTTGGATTATGACTATTAAATATGACACATTTTTGTAAGTCATAAATCATTCAGATTTTAACAAACATGGAATTTTTTTATGACACACATATTTTGCAAGTCACAAATTAGTGTGTGTCATCGTTCGTTTGTCATTATAGGTATATTTTCTTGTAGTGATGGAAAAGTAACCTGAGAATTTGTACTTAAATCGATAAATTACTGATTTGATTGTTTATACATACCTTTGTATGGAAAATTCCTGATAATTCATTAGTAACATCTGAAAAGACTTTTAACCTGGAAATCTCTGATTTGAGAATAAATTATCAAGGGTGTTTCTTTTGTCAGAACCATTCAAAAAGACTGAAAAGATGATACATTTGAATTAAATAATAAGATCAGATGGATGGAAAGGATTGAAATACATCGGATCTGTCAGAGTAGTTCAATGGGACTGATATAAATGATAAGTTTGAATTTAATAATAAGATCAGACGGAATGAATTATTGGACTACAATGGATATGTAAAATAACCAAAATACCCTTAGAATGTAAATGACCAAGAATATTACCAAGCTCAAGAATGAGTGGGTATCCTCGAGCTTTGAAATGAATGGAATAAAACTGAGCATCAAAATGACCAAAATACCCTTATGACCTAGACTAAGTAGATGTTGGATTAATTAAGGAATCCAAATAAACATGGGTGTGGTATTGATCTTAAAAGTTATGGATCACATATTAAGCCGAGCAACCAATGCTAGTGTTATATCAGTACCAGAACGACATAGATGTCACTTGAATGCGTGTTCGACTTCTCAAGTTAGATTCGATAATAATTTTGGAAGTATTCAGCTCAGCTCAATTCTAGATTGCATTATGTACTAAGAAGGGGATATTCGTTAGACAAATAAACCATGAAGACCAAATTGAACAGAACATGAGTATAATATGTATCCGAAATTCAGAAAAGTATGAATTACTCTAGAAAACCCCAAAGTAACTGGAATGGACTTGATAACTAAATGAATTGGCTAACCTCAAGGACTAAGGATTAAGTGATTTGGATGAGTCTGCAAATGTTAATGAACATACATGATGTAATGTTCTTATGGATCATGAACTACAAATCAAGTACTTCAGCAGTTCATGATATAGTGAAAGCGTGAACATGAAATTAAGAGCATTGGAATATCTGTTAGTCTCCTTAAGATCTGTTCAGTGATGACTCAGAAGATGATCTATGGATAATAATATTTGGTATTAAAGAGTAAATACCCTAGAAGGTTAATGAATTGACAAATTGATAAGTATTGTTTATGGGAGCTATTCATCTAGAGTTGTTCGATAAACTGATTAATCGAAATAGATTGTAAAGGCCATGAACCTTCATTTCTTCCCTATCAGCTCAAGTTCATTTTGAATAACTGATGATTTCATCAGTTATTAATCTATTCCAATAGTGATTCTAATTTCCAACATTCTATTGATATACTGAAGATCTGTGTTTCTCTTCCTGATAAGATTATCCAGTACCTCTAAATAATATCTGTAAACTCTGGTGTGTTCCCTAATCACGTGAATATTTTATCTGATTTTTGATTTGAATTCTATTTACGGACGTAACATGTTTTATTGGGGGTATAGTTGGAGGAAGAATACTTGCAGGTTCCGACTTTGTGCTGAGGGCCTTACTGTTCGTGACGGGGTTGAATACTTGCAGGTTCCTTGGCTTTGTGTTGAGAGCCTTACTGTTCCTGACGGGGTTGAATACTTGCAGGTTCCTTGGCTTTGTGTTGAGAGCCTTACTGTTCCTGACGGGGTTGAATACTTACAGGTTCTTGGCTTTGTGCTCAGGGCCTTACTGTTCGTGACGGGGTTGTATGGTTATGAAGAACCTAGACATTTTGTGCGTGACGGATGGGGAAATTACTATGGTTTTTGAATTTTTAAAAAATATATTTTAAAAAGATTGTATATTTTCACTGGTTTTGAGGGAACACACTAGGTAACCTATTCTGATCTCCTGAACTTAGTCATCCGAAATATTTCTCTGAACTGAAAGCTCATTGTCCGTTACCACCTGAAATATCAGTAAGATCTCTGCCTCAGGAATAAAGAAATCTGTAGATGTCGGAACCAATAAGGAAATATATGTTTATCTGTATCTGCACGTTCTTCAGCATCATCTGGGTAGTTATGTATTACTGAGCTTTCCAAAGCTCACTCTGTTACTCATCTTTTCAGGTTAAAAGAATCGTACTAGTGCAACTATCAACATTAGTAAGGGAGTTCTTCCGGCGTTGCTTGCAGAGTATGGTACATGTGATTAGGGGGCATGTAATTGTATTTTGTTTTATATACGAGTCTGAAAATCTGTTTTATTTCTCATACTGATAAATCATTTTAATAAGTTATATGTTTTGATAAAAGTTTTAAATTTTCCGCTATTTTTACAGTGGGTCGCTCCGGTGGCCCTAATGTGACATTCCAGATCGGACGGGTTACCCGCATCGGTCTGAGGGGGTTACAATATCTCCCAGCTAAAGGGAAGGTATATTTTCGAGATTTTTTCGCATAAATCTTTGTTTTATATTCGATAATTTTCTTTGGTCCACGTTTAGTTATTTCGAGAATTTTTCACCCTTTTGCACTTTTATTTTATGTTATTTTATCTTTGCGAAAATTGCGAAATAATGTCTTTTGTGAGGGGAATCTATGAGAAAGTCTCCTAATTGTAAAAGAAGTATTTTCCCGAATATTATTCACACAAAAGGACATTAATTATCTGAAAATTAACACTTTTTGAATAAAGTCAAATGCATGAAAGGATCTTAATTTAAATATATTTTTGAATTTGTAATTTTCAATATTTAAATAATATATAATTGTTTAGGTACTAAAATTTGGGCGTTGTGGGGTGTTAACCCTTCCCATACGTAACCGACTCTCAAACTATTAAAAACGAATTTTTAGTAAAATGAGTACTATTTTTTGACGTTTAACCTACTTAACTTAATTGTTGATGACACTAAAAAATAAACTGTTTTCCAAATGTTTCATCACTCTCCCTGAAATTAAAATTTTTAAATCTATCGAATACCGTGAAACGTTATCACACAAAGTATAGATTAAATATATGAACAATAGAGTATATGATATATTATATGGAAACAGAAATAAATAAAATTATACTGTCTAAGTTTCTAGCTCTTGAAGGCAATCTTCTTTCTTTTCTTTGTTTCCTGTTTGTTTTAGAGAAGATTCATGGCGGCAACCTCAGATCGTATCCCTGGTACGTCAAGTCGTCAACTACCCCGTAATCTTGTTCCTTCTGTTTGATGTTTGGTTTTTCTTCTCTCGGACTTTCGATTTCCTAGTGGTTTTAGTCTCTTCTTTTTATTTCAATTCAATTGTAACTTGATGCTTGGCAACCTCAGATCGTATCCCTGGTACGTCAAGTCGTCAACTACCCCGTAATCTTGTTCCTTCTGTTTGATGTTTGGTTTTTCTTCTCTCGGACTTTCGATTTCCTAGTGGTTTTAGTCTCTTCTTTTTATTTCAATTCAATTGTAACTTGATGCTTGGTTTTTCTTCTCTCGGACTTTCGATTTCCTGTTTATTTTCCTAGTTGTTGAATCTTTGGGCCTTCGATTGATCAACTGTGTTTTGTTCAATTTAATTTGTTTATTATGTATGAGGTTTGATATTTTTGTCAAAATCTGGGATCTGGGTCTTAATTGATAGAACTTATTGCAAAGTTCTGTTATTTTGTTCCTTAATTTTCCGTGGTGTTTAAGTAAATAGCACTGAAAAAAAGGCTGAAGTGTATAAGGATAATTTTTTAATACCTTGCTGCTAAGAGCCTAAGACTGAGAATCCTACAAGTAACTCAATCGTGGCCTTTGATCGATCTGTTGTGCTGGTTCAGTTGTACTTGTCTGTAGGTAAATATGTGGGGTTTGATCCTTTTGTTAAGATCTGGGTCTAATTGAAAGAAATTATTGCAAAATTCTGTTTTTTTTTCTTCCTTAATTTACCTTGATTATCATATGGATAGTACTGCAAAAAAGGCTTAGGTTTTTTTAAGGTTAATTTTTAAGTATCTTGCTATAAAGACTGAGAATCCTACTAAAATTCTCTCCCTTTTTTCAAAAGAAAAGAAAAGAGAAACAGCCTGATTGAGGTTGAAAAGGAAAAAAAACTGTAATGTGGTTTCACAGTGAATTTCGTCAAACCATATTAATTAATAAAACGAAAAACAATTTGCAGAATACTTGGGTGGTTTACTGGAAATTTGATGTACAATTTGTATATTTCAATGGTCCTTGGTCTTTATATCCAATGCTATAGTATGTTGGACCTTGTGGTATTTTCTAGAATAAAAATATTGTTTTTATCTTGTTTCTGTGTCAGACTGGGAGAAAATGGTAGGAAATGTGTATGACAGTGTTCATAAAAGAAGCTTCATCTAATATATCTTGTGTGGTACTGTTTAATAATGAGTGATTGACTTGTTCAATATTATTGCATATGGGGGTTTTGGCTTTGTGCCTTATCATTTGGATGTTGCCATCATGCAAATAAATGTAAGGTTAAGCCTTTCGATATGTAAAGAACTACATTTTTCTTTGAAAATTTATTCATGTTATTTATTTAATGTGAATAGGTGTGCACGTGTGGATTTGCGCACACATATTCATAATTTCAAGTTTACCTATCCTCGAATTTAGCTTTGGTTGGTCAATAATTTGTACTGCTTGTGTTTCTAAGACTCTACTTAGTCACTGAGCATACTGATCATGGATGCAGAAGAGCAACAAGCTGATCCAGACAAAGTGAAGGAGCAGGTAGTTGTGAGTTACTGACATGCTCTTCCTTTTTATTCTCTTCATTTGTTTCTGCCAGACAGTTAAAGGGAAATATTCTTACTATTGACCTTCATTTATTATTCTCTTAACAGCCTCTTTCAACAAAAAATAAGACGTTGGTTTCTCCTAATTCCACTCAGGATGCTGCCCTAATGGGCCATCCTGGTGCTGGTGCTGGTCAATCTGGATCATTTGTTTCAGCTGGACAGCTTAATGTCTATTCACCTACAATCTATGCTCCTCAGCCTCAGGCTTTCTATTACAGAGGTTAATCTTCTGTCTTCTTGGGTCTATTTTAATGCTGGGCTGGTTGAACCTTGTATTAGTAAATTCCAATTGAAATCTAATCATTAGTTGCATATATGTCTGGTAACATGGTATTTCGTTTCTTTTTTTGATGCTCAGGTGCTGTTATTGTAGTAGTTCTTGGATATCACTCTCTGGTCCATGTAAATGCTACTTTGAGCAAGGATATTGTATGAAAAATCTTATACCGTGTGAGTCATGTGATAAAAAATGAAATCAGTGAGTTGCCATAGCACCAAAATACGAAGTCTTTTGTGTTTGTTTTTACTTAGTTTATAGCCAAAAAGGAATTAAATTTTGGTTCTTAAGTTGGTTTTCTATGTAAAAGAGGAACCTTGGTTTTGTTTATCTTTCCCTTCCTTTGGTTTTAATGTTAGTAAGGTATAGGTTATTTAATTTGAATGACAATACTCATAACGGTTGGAAACATGAAGATGCATAGTTCTTTTATTTATTTTGATTCTGTAGATCGTATTCATATGAATTCTTTCTGAATGGGCTAGATAGTAGTGCATGTTACTTTTGAGTGATTTCACTATGCAAGGAAAATAACCATTCACTTCTGTAGAAAGTAGAAACTTTTTTATTTCTCTAATGCATTGCATTTTCTGTTTTGAGATCGATAGATACGTGAAATAGAAATTAATATTGGGGATGTTTCTAAAATTGAGAGCAGGTTATGAAAACACTGCTGGTGAATGGGATGAATATCCGCCGTATATCAATGCTGAAGGACTAGAACTTGGATCCTTGGTGAGAATCTTTCCATTCATCTGTGTAGATTTTCTTTGAATGATTAAGTTTTTTTTTTCCTTTTCGGTGACATTTTATCTTAATTAGGGCATCTTCAATGAGAATCCATCACTTGTCTTCCACCCTGGATACAGCTACAATCCGCAAATGCCGTATGGGCCATATTCCCCTGTCACAACTCCTTTGCCTTCTGTAGGTGGTGATGCACAGTTGTACTCCCCGCAGCAGTTTCCATTCTCTGGACCACCATATTATCAGCAGTTTATTCCTCCGAGTATGCCTTATATTACTTCACCTTCTCCAGTTTCACGTCCAGAACTAACCACATTAGTTAATGTTGACCAACAAGGTGATAACATGCTCTTTGGACCAAGGCCTAGTTATCCCAGTCCATTGGGATCTTTTGGTAGAGGCAGTTTACCTGGAAATCCTGGTACCCTAGGATTTAATGATTTACAGCAAGGTTTTGATGGATTCAGGTCTGGAGGACTTTGGTCAGATTGGTCGAAGCCTTCTGATAGACAGAGATCTTTCACTCCCATATCGCCAGCATTATCTCCCCATCCCCATCCTATTGGGCCAATTGGGCAGAATGTTCCAATGGTATGTATATTGGTTAATACTCTCAGAGATCTTATTTTATGTTATTATTATTCTTGTTTATAGTTTTGCCTTAGTACCTGCTTGTTTGGCAAGCTAGCATGGTCTTAAGAATAAGTCTTTTTCATATGTTCTCAAAGTTGACAGAGAGAAGCACCTTATTGCATGGTTTACCTTCTTCAGCTAACCCAAATAGCATTTGGAGAATATGGAGTTTATACACAGTGGAATATATCAGAATCATATATTCATTCTCATTTTTTGCAAGTTGGATAAATATGATTTATCTGCCTTTTAAATACAGTGTCGAATGTACATATTATCTCTAAAAGTATATCAAATAAGAAATAATTTATATCCTTCTGTTATTTATTAACCACATATTCTATATTGTTTCACTTCTAGAATTAATAATGTACATCTCAGTGGATCCACCTATATACCAAATTTTCTTCAATTAGTTACTTATTTTATTGATTGTGCCCACCCTAAAATTTTTTTGTGCCTACCCCATATGAAAATTTTATATTATTCATGTATGTGTGCCCACCCTCAAGAAATTTTCTAGATCTGCCACTACAGAAGATGTGGAGCACGTGGTTATCATTTTGCCTGATGGGCCTTGAATTTATTTTTTTAGTGTACTATTTCATTAACCTCTCCAAAACCTGTAAAATTTCCTTTCTATTCTCAGTTTATATTATCTCTGATTCTCTGTCTTTACCATCAAGTCCTGTCACACTTAGAAAGTTCTTGTAGCATATGTCACACTTTTGAAAGAAATTAGACATTCAACCAAGGTCCTTGGTTTATATCTTTATAGATAACCTGTAGCATACTGTTTAATATTAAAATGCCGTCCTAATGCCATTCACAATGAGTCAATGACTTATTAAACTTCTTTTTGGGCTTTGAATTAAAGTTTTTGTTTAGCTCAAATTTTGGATTTTAAGTTCTAGGAGTGTTTAAATGACTAATAGTTCTTGGAAGCTTTTATTGTTTAAGTGAAGATGATCCACAAGTCATTTAATGATGGAATATGTAGCAAAGCTAGTGTTTCAATAGTCTTATTGTTATACCATTTTAGTCTTGAGTCTTTTTATTCCTTTTCAGGTACCTCAGCAACAAAGGTCATTTTATCCATTAGGATCTGGAATGAACTCCTATAACAGAGGCTACGTGCAAAGTGGTCTCAATCAAGGTGCTGGGTTTATAAATGCATCAGTTCCTAGTTTCGGAGCGAACAATTGGGGCTGGCTACCTTTTGATAGTAAAAGACAACGTGGAAGAGACAGTGACATCTCTTTGTGTGGTTGTAATGGTGCTCTTGATATCCTTAGTGAGAAAAACCGAGGGCCAAGGGCCTTAAAACCTAAGAATCAAATCACAGCTAAAAATAATTCTTCCGTTGATGATAATAAAAACAAACCTTCAGCGAAGATCAATGATAATTCATTTAACTGGTCAGATTTCACTACAGATTACAAGGATGCTAAGTTTTTCATAATCAAGTCATACAGTGAAGATAATGTTCACAAGAGTATCAAATATGGCGTCTGGGCTAGTACACCTAATGGGAACAAAAGGTTAGACGCCGGTTATGATGAGGCCGTGGAGCACCAAGACAACTGCCCAGTGTTTCTCTTCTTTTCGGTATTTACATTTTAGAGAAAAAAAACTTGTATTTACTATTTACTTTTTTTCATCCATATGGGTTAAATATAAATTACTCGATTGTTGCAGGTGAATGCTAGTGCTCAGTTCTGTGGGGTAGCAGAAATGGTTGGACCTGTGGATTTTGACAAAAGTGTGGATTACTGGCAGCAGGATAAATGGAGTGGGCAGTTCCCTGTCAAATGGCATATTATCAAAGATGTTCCTAACAGTCAGTTCCGTCACATCATACTGGAAAATAATGATAATAAACCTGTGACTAACAGTAGAGATACTCAGGAGGTACAATTTCAAATGACTATTATAGATGACAGTTCATTCATTTGATAATGCTCTGATCTTCAAATTGTTGTACTGAATTTTTGTTAGATAGCTACATGATAAGGGAATATCTTGGTTCTGAAAATTAAATCGTCGAAAAATTATTTTAAAAATTTGTTCAGGTCTCTATTCTTATAGTCTTCTGGGGCGGTACTGATAATTATTGTACGGAGGGTTCTTTTTACCAACAGTACTGGTAGTCTTTGTGTGTTGTGTCCTGAAACCATTGATCTATTTATGATATGCTCCTCACCCACGCCGTCTATTTCCTTCAGATGCAATTGAGGATATTATTCTATCATTTAACTGTGTTACTGCCGTACTACAAATCCCAATTTTATTGATTAGATTAAAATATATTTTATGCCAATTCTAATGTCTTCCTGCTTCTTCTTACTTAGTTTTGAGGATTTAAAAGATATTATCGCTTGAAGATATTCCAGTTACAACAAATCTTTTACTTGTGTGGGCATCAATTTTTGCAGGTGAAACTGGAGCAAGGACTTGAAATGTTGAGCATCTTTAAACGTTATGAAACTGATATGTCAATCCTGGATGATTTCGAATTCTATGAGGACAGGCAGAAGGCCATGCAAGAGGGTAAGGCTAGACAACAAGCTACCCTCGTGTCTGTAGGGGTTGTTGGAGAAAGCGAGCATAGAAATGCTGTTACATTATCCAATGATTTCATAAAGCAGATGTCTAAGAGCTTTGCTCAAGTTGTCTGCTTGGATGATGGTGATAAAGAAGGCACTGGTAACGAAAGAACTAGTTCTGAGTCTGATGGCTCTAAAGTTGCAAGGGTTAAACTTGAAGATGTTATCACAGCAACAGCCTCTTCAGCCCAGGCGAGTTAGGAATAAGCATTCTGGACGGCCTTTGTTTTGTGTATGTGACACAAACATCTTTTTCACCTTTTTTCTTTAATTATTATTTTACTTTATGCGAAGTTGGATCTCTCGTTTGATGTAATTCTGATTCCAATGGAGCGTATCCATAATTTGAACAAGTTCTCACAAGTTTTATGGGGCTGATTTGCATCATATGTAATATTTGCCTTGTGAGTTTAACTGTAGTCATTAGTTTTCTTTCTTTGCCTTCTACCTTTGGTTTTGTAAAGTTGTTTCAGGCAGTTGAATAAAGAATACAGCAAATGGTGTTATGCAATCTTTTGCTTTCTTTCACTTATTCTTCAATTATTATCAGGATGTGTTGTGTTGGGTGGAGAGAGTTATGACTGGCTGCAGAATATTACTTGCCATACTATAAGACTGATGTTATTTTGGAAGTGTCTCTGAAGTCTAAATTTGTTTTCCAAGTTGAAAAGAGGTGGCTTAGGTTCCAAGTAAAAAGTCAGAGAAAGAGTTGAATCAATGTTTATCTAAAATTTCAGCCTTAGCCCCTAAGACAGAGAGTAGATGACCCTCACCCATTCCTCTTTATCTTTATATGACAGGGACAACTACTTGGTTGAATATTCTCAACCAGTGGAAATTTCTTGGCTCAAAATATTAGCTCCACACTTTGAAATTCTGGAATCTTTCTTTTTGTTTTCATATCTATTATCTCTTCTAGCTTCAGAAATTAACAATATCAATTGACCTTTTATTACTTATTTGAAGACAATATTCTACACCCATTATTGAAATTTGCGTCTTCATTGAGGGCTTATTTAGTAATTTTCCTTATTAATAACAAATATATATGAAAGAGGAAAATCCTAAAAGAAATCTATCCTTAAAAAAAGAACTATTTTTTTGAAATAATAATTAGTTAATTAATATTGATATTTTCTTTTTGTTTGAAATGTTAATTAAAAACCTGACCATCTTAATGCATTATTTTTATTTCCAAAAATTAGATAACTAAATGAGAAGAAATTCACTTAAAAAGGCTGTTCATAATCTAATTTCGGATTCTAACCATTGTTTAGGAAGCTTGGACATTCTCTCACACTATCTCAACTGAAAGTAAAACATGGAGTAGTTTTTATACAAAGAGTGGACATTTCCCTAAATATATAATAAACAATTGTGCAAGAGACCTCCAACACAGTGAATTTACCCACGCTTAACTTGATCTTTGCCCAAAGAGAGGCACAATTATAAGTCTAGGTTGAAGGCAAGTGTTTAGGATTCGAGTGGGCAGCCTGACGAGCGAAGGGAGGATGACGAGTGTCTCTTCAATGGAATTTTGGTGGTTCCTTAACCTCAGAGCTACTCTTATTGCTCTTCTTCTTATACTCTTTTTTCATCTTTCCAAGAAATTCTACTCTAAATTCCTTCCTTATTCGTCCACTCGTCGTCTTCCTTCTTCTTCTTCATCCAGTTCTCCTCTTGATTCTCAATCAAGGTAATCTTTTGACGTTTTTTTCTAATTTGGGTTCCTTTTAGCTTTTTCATCTTGCCTTCTTTCTCACTCAAATTTGTTCACTTGTTGGGGTTTTGGTACAGTTCTGGCTGTTTTCTTGATTGAGCTCCAATTTATTTATCTTCTTAATATTTTCTTGAATAAGTTGTTCTGGATTTGCATCTATATTTCTGGGTTTTGCATCACTATTCGGCAAGCCCTTAATTTACCACATCATTAAAGTTTTCTGCTAGTCTTTCTCGTATGTTTTGTTTTTCTTTTATTTCCAGAATTGTGTGTTTCTTTTGGTCTTATCATCTGCAACTTTTACTGTCGAAATGTGAAGAACATGCACTTTGGGGAATATATTATTAACTTTTTTTAATTAGATATTGTCCCTTGCCTTCAGTTGTGGTGGGGAAATTTTCTCTGTTGCCATCTCCATAATCAACCATCTACAACGGAAAAATTACCCCCCCCCCTTTTTTTTACAGCTGAAAATATTGGTTAGAGTTGTCACTTAAAATTTATGGAGTGGTTTCAATGTTACCTCGACTTTTATAACTGATTTGGAACTTATGTTTGCTACCTGTAGAATCCCAGAGATCATATCTGATTCGGACTTGAAGTTTTTGATTGATAATTTGGATGAGAAGCTCAATGAGGACGAGAAATGGGAGAATGTAATCGACAAGAAAACCAACTTTCTTTCCTACAACGCAAAATGCTGCAGAACTAAGGTTCTTTGTACTCTGATTTGCTTTACTTCATCTATAATAACAACGTAGTGGAGTTTTCTGAAATCAGTACTTTCAATCATTTACTTGTATATGCCAATTCATTGAACTTAAGGTCGATTTGACTTGTCGGACACGGTTTAAGTTACAATTACAGTCTGTTTACAGATGGACCAGGCCAGCATGTAATTCAAGCGATGAAGCAAACTGAAAGTTATTATTCTTGTTGTTGATTGCAGGATAAACCACTGAAATATCTGAGCACGACTGTATTTGAGAGTTGCTCCCCGGTGCTTCTGAGAGACTTCTATATGGACAATGATTATAGAAAGCAGTGGGATAAAACAGTGATTGATCATCTGCAGCTGCAGGTGAACAGAACAAATGGGATTGAAATTGGCCGCACAGTAAAAAAGTTTCCTCTTTTGACACCTAGAGAATATGTACTGGCTTGGAGATTGTGGGAGGGAAAAGATAGAACATTCTACTGCTTTACCAAGGTGATTGTCACTGTAACCTGGTCTTTCATCATATATTAAGTTCTTGTCTGATTCAATCTTCAAAAAAAAAAAGGAAAAGATCTTGTCTGATTCAGATTCTTTTGGAAAGTGGAAGTTCTACAACTGATATTAAGGATTAAGCACATGTTGTCATATCTTTAATATGAAAGAGATGTATATGTTTTATACTTGAAGTTACTAATATTGGAATTTATCCTCATTTAGCACATGTTGTCATTTGTCAAAATTGCTTCATGCAAATACTTTGTTTTTCTACACAGTTGATCCATGTTTATGCTTACTATCAAATCGTGGTTGACTTTTGTTGTAATTCTTGCTATGATTGACTAGGAATGTGAACATCCATCTGCACCGAGACATAAAAAGTATGTTCGCGTAGGATATTTTAGATCCGGTTGGCAAATCAGGAAAGGCAAGTGTCTGGTATACTTATCTAACTGTTACTAAGAAACATAGAGAGTTGGTGCTTTCTCATTGGAGCCATGCAATTTCTCAGGAATTTTTCTCTAGATTGAATTATGTACTTGCACAATGTGCTCCTGCAAGTGACAGACAGTCCCTCTCTCTCTGCATGAGAAAAATAAAAAAAGTGTGATGAATCTTGTCACCAAATCAAGCTTTTTTGGACTCCAGTTTGAGTCATTAGTGACGATGCATTTCTTAATTTCTGCCAAAGTGTTTATACCCAAGGCATTGAAAATGTTAAACTTGCTTGGGAGAGGAATAAAAGGCAATAAGGGATCCTGTACCTATATACTTCTTTATCTGGTTTCCTTTTTGTTCCTATTATTACTTGATTATTTGTGATTCTGAATTTTAATTTTGACTGTACAGTACCTGGTAGAGAAGCCTCTGAGATCAGAATGTTTCACCAAGAAGATGCTGGTCTGAATGTGGAAATGGAAAAACTAGCATTTTCAAAGGGCATATGGAGTTATGTATGTAAGATGGATAATGCACTACGCAAGTATTCTGCGATCAACCGCCCTCTGACGACTCCATCTGTTTCGTCCGTCACTCTGATTCAGAAGGTCTGCATTATTATATTGTTTAATATATATCCTTTTTCTAATGTGATCATGTTTACCAATAACATGTTATAATTTCCTTATTCCAAGAGAAAAACATTTAAGACTCATGACAAGACATATATCCGTGTCCAGCGCTAGCACCCAAGTTTTGAGTAAAATAGAGATAGATTTATATAGCTCTGTTAACCTTAACAGTATGCAATCAAATTATCTTGGTTTCCTTACCTGTGTTGAAGATTAGTGTCTTGGGAAATGAGTAATTTAGGATATGTTTTCTTTATATAGGATGGTTAGAGTTTTTTTTTTTTTTTTGAGAAATGAGTAAGAGAATCTTATCTTTATAGCAGAGGTAAAAATAAAGAAGCAGGGACTGAAGAATGAGGACCATATGCAGTAGTAAGCAGCCTAGAGTCTTCTATTGCACTGTTGAGTTATCTAGTCTAGAAAGTCTACCCTTATAGACTAGTCGTTCTAATTGAGGCTTATCTAGTTTATACCTTCTATTGTCAAAATAAATTTATTGAAATAAATTCTGGTTATGGAATCACATGATTAAGCTTCGGCTTCTTTATATTTGAAAAAGAAAAGAAATAAATTGGTTCGGGTGATATTATATTTGGATCTGCTCACGTACTGATGATTGACATGCTGTCTGCATATAGGTTCCACCTGAATTAGAGATGATAAGTGGCAGTACTCTTCCAGCAGTCTCTGCATCAATGCCCACTCTTGAACCTGTTAACGGTGAACCCAGGGAGAAAAAGTTATCAAGAATACCATCGAAAAGGACTGTAGCGAAAAGTTTGCTTGTTGCTGGGGGTGTGCTCTGCCTGTCTCGTGGTCACGTTGGCCTGGGTGCTAAAGTTGCAATGGCGTTCATCTTAACAAAACTGAGAAAGCATTGTGATTCATCAAGCCAAAGCAGGCGAACTCAAGGCACCTGACATCTCTGCAACTATTTTTGATGGTTTTTAACGAGGCTGGTTGTCGCAGCTCAGTTATCAAGTTTAACTACAGTCGGAAATAAAATGGGTGGGGGTTATTTGACGTGAAATCCAAAATTTATTTTATAATTATTTCTTTTTGATAGTGTAAATATACTCAAAACCCGGATGTGCTATTTTCTTTATGTAATGCTAATCACTACAGTTAATGAACTTTAAGCTGCAACATACCAGTTACAGGCTACAGCTTTGTTTTTGCATCAATAGCCTGCCCATTCCAACAAGCTACTAACCTAATTGCATAGTCGTACAAGACATTAAATCCTCTTAACAGGCATCAAGTTCAGGATTTCAATATTGTAAAATCTTACAATTTAATGCGTGTGTGTCACGGAATTGCATGCTAATCATGCAACTAATGAACACGATGGTCTATGGTATATAATTAGTTTAATTCTCGCTTATCGTTTTCATTTTCAAAATAGCTTATAATTATATCAATGGTTAGATTTGTTAGGG